GTCTCAGAAAGCTGTGATGTGACCATGGACTGACTCCCATTTCTGCTGAGGTTAAAGGAAACATCTCAGTTTAAATACATAGAAATATAAAGCACACAAACAGAAATATAGACAGTCACTTACGCTGTCATTACTCGGTCTTCTCCTCTGATCCAGTGGCAGACAAGAGATCCAGAGAGGCCCTCCAGGGAGATGATGAGTTTCTTACCCACTGCTAACACTTTGGTGATGGGACCAGATGGATTCAGATAATCAGCTGGTGTCAAACATGCTGCCTGAAGAACAAGAGCCAACATTTAATCCTCCTTCATTTAGCAGCAGTAAAATCATCACCACTGGCAAGATCTGAATTAGATTTTCCCGAAAACACATAAAAAAAAAGTTGATTTCCTGATTAAATGTTTCCTTTAAAAAAAACAAAACAAACGAAGCTTATATTTTGTACCTGAACAAAACTTGTACTAAAACCTCTTCAAAATGTATTAGAATGACACAAAGTGATTACAGGAAATTACAGAAAGAGCAGCTAGCACTATTTCCCTCTCTGTTGCTGTGTGCTTTTTGCTGCCCTGTACACCATAACACACACACTGCCATTTGCGAAGGTAAGCTGGAGCTACACAAACATTAAAGAGTCGATGCACAGCATGAAAATGGGTGTTCACTTCTGTCTTATCTAGACTATAGGTGTCTTGTTTACCCAGATATGTATATGTGCAATTAATGCATATTTCACACTGGTCAAGAGGGGTTTATTAAAGAATAATAGTTCATTTTATGTCATCTCAGAACTATTCCCTGCTTTAAGACTTCATTGTCAGTATCACTTTCAGTTATTTGATCAGAGTTTAGTTAAAACAGCTCTTACCTCATGACTGGGTACACAGGCTGGAGTCTCCACATCATCAGAGCAGAGCACTCCGACAGCACACAGCAGCAGAACAGCTGGAGACATAGAAAACTGAATCTTTAGTTTAAATATTACTGAAAATCAAAACAAATGTATATACACCAGTGGGGAAAAACAAAACCAAAAAAAAAGTAACACAAATGCATCATTAAGAAGAAGTTATTGCTCTTCTAAGTCAGACTGTATTTATGAACTACAACTGTGTCATTAACAAAATGCTTCATAACTCAAAATGTAGCTCTGGCCAACTACAAAAACCTTGACTGCATGTCTGTGATTACCTTCGATTGTTGTTGTGCAGGAATGAATAACTCTCACTCACCTGCAATCATGTTTCTCTGCCTCCAAGTTTTCATTCTCGTATTCTGAAAGGAAAATGTGTTGCTGCAACAGCGCCACCTATATGGCAATTTCATCCCAAGGAAATGAAAAGGGCTAGTCACTATGATGGTGGAAAAACAGGACAAGAAGCGAGGATATTGCGCACCAGACGGGCAGGATTTGAGAGGGGTCCTCGCACACTCACAGTGCACCAGCAATATCCACGAACAAGACAAAACAGTTAATAATATCTTAATAATATCAAAGGAAAAACAAACACAAGTAATTAATCACAGCTGGATCATAACGGGACGCTTTCTCCATACATCCGATAGATAAACTAGCTTCACAGACGGAATACAGCATCTCTAACTAGAAACACAGAAAAAGAGCAAAGATGAGTACTGTCACGGCTCGGGGCAGCGGCCGTGTGAAGAGTGGAAAGGAGGACTCAAACGCAGCACTTACTTAGATGTGAAGGCGATTTATTGACAATACTGAACATAAAGTGGAGATGGCAAACAGAACTAAGGACGAACTAAACTGGGAGAAACTACACAAAGGAGTGGCAAACCTGAACATGAAGGGAGAACAGCAGGGAGAGCACGCAGGGGAATTCACCGGGTATGAACACAGACGAGGAAAAGAGGTAAACACACACTATAAATACACAGAGAGACACTGGGAAATCACACGCAGGTGGGAGACACAGCTGGACCTGGTTAACCTGACGAGACAGGGGAACACTGACACCAGGGACCAATAGAGGGAGCACAAACCCAGAACCCAGTATAAAAATCCCAAAACACAAACCATCCCAAACAGCCACGAATAATAATGAAAGTAATAACAATAGAGAACACCAACACAAAATCACTGAGTCATGGCCGCAGGACCATGACAAGTACAAACAAGGTTGAAACGTTGAAAGTATCTGCTCACCCAAAGCTGGCTGCCTAATCTGGAGAAGTCTGCCTCACTGCCCCTCCTACATGGAAATGGTACAGTTTCGTTTTCTGTTATTTGTTTTTCTCAATCCTTTTGTAGAAATCGACGAGTGGCTTCACATGTAAACGACATCATGTTTCACACATTCTGATGCGAAGTACTTTGACTTGAATAAAAGTCACTTCTTACCTTCTCATAAAAGTTAGATTGCTTTTCTCTTGGGACCAAAATAAAATAGACACATACACATGATTAACACAAATATATGATTACAAGCTTTTCTTTTAATGAATAAAACATATTGTACTTCAGGTATAATGCTTAAACATATACATATATATACATACATATACATATATACATGTTGTAGAGACCCACTTTTTAGCACATCCCAGCACACCCACTCACTTCACCAGATGCACCTTGTTTAGTTCTCTCACCTTTGATTGGGTGTGGTGCTTGTCCTTGATTGCACTCACCTGTCACACATTAGTCACACAGTACATAAGGACTGCATTCACTCTTT